TTTGTGAGTAGTGGATTTTTGGAAAAAAAGGAAGGTAAAACACTGCCTTTTTTTGAGCCCCGAAGAAAAAATTGTCTCAGATCGACCCGGAAAAACAATTTTCTTATAGAATGTGGCCTGTAGAATCCATAATTTCAAACAGTTCCAAGATTGGGCTACTAGTTCAAAAGTTACAGCCTTTTGAATTTTTTTCGAAATTGGTTTCTAGTCTATAACTTTTGATTGAGAAGTCTGATCGAAAAAGTACGAATTGATTTGGATTCTACGCACCCAAATTAATAAGAAAAAGTGTTTTCCCGAGAATTTTTGGTGTAGTCGATTTTTGGTAAAAAAGGAAGGTAATACACTGCCTTTTTTTGAGCCCCGAAGAAAAAATTGTCTCAGATCGACCCGGAAAAAAATTTTCTTATAGAATGTGGCCTGTAGAATCCATAATTTCAAACAGTTCCAAGATTACTAGTTCAAAAGTTACAACCCTTTGAATTTTTTTTCGAAATTGGTTTCTAGTCTATAACTTTTGATTGAGAAGTCTGATCGAAAAAGTACGAATTGATTTGGATTCTACGCACCAAAATTAAAAAGAAAAAGTGTTTTTCCGAGAAATTTTGGTGTAGTCGATTTTTGGTAAAAAAGGAAGGTTATACACTGCCTTTTTTTGAGCCCCGAAAAAAAAATTGTCTCAGAACGACCCGGAAAAAAATTTTCTTATAGAATGTGGCCTGTAGAATCCATAATTTCAAACAGTTCCAAGATTGGGCTACTAGTTCAAAAGTTACAGGCCTTTGAATTTTTTTTCGAAATTGGTTTCTAGTCTATAACTTTTGATTGAGAAGTCTGATCGAAAAAGTACGAATTGATTTGGATTCTACGCAACCAAATAAATAAGAAAAAGTGTTTTCCCGAGAAATTTTGGTGTAGTCGATTTTTGGTAAAAAAGGAAGGTTATACACTGCCTTTTTTTGAGCCGCGAAAAAAAAATTGTCTCAGATCGGCCCGAAAAAAAATTTTCTTATAGAATGTGGCCTGTAGAATCCATAATTTCAAACAGTTCCAAGATTGGGCTACTAGTTCAAAAGTTACAGCCTTTTGAATTTTCTTTCGAAATTGGTTTCTAGTCTATAACTTTTGATTGAGAAGTCTAATCGAAAAAGTACGAATTCTTTTGGATTCTACGCACCAAAATTAATAAGAAAAAGTGTTTTCCCGAGAAATTTTGGTGCAGTCGATTTTTGGTAAAAAAGGAAGGTTATACACTGCCTTCTTTTGAGGCCCGAAAAGAAAATTGTCTCAGATCGACCGGGAAAAAATTTTTCTTATAGAATGTGGCCTGTAGAATCCATAATTTCAAACAGTTCCAAGGCTGGTGGCGTCGTTCCATGTCTTAACAGTCCGCTTCACCTCTTGCCACAGCTTCGTTTTGGAGCAGCATTGCCATACCTACGAGGTTGGTCTTGGCTACTTGGCTTGTAGGGGTTGTCTATCAAATGTTCCAGGTCTCCTTTTCCGTTGAACTGGGATGTGAATTTGGAGAAGGACCTTATCGTCCCCTATAACTTTTGACATACAGAAGCGATCTTCACCTATATCGGCGATTCTTATAGATTTTAGCCTGTAGAACTCAAATCGTCCAGAAAATCATACACGTGTATCAAAAGTTATTGCGCCTTTCTAAAAACTCATTTCTCTTAAGCAATAAAATTAATCTCGAAATTTTTACATGCTGTGAAACGTATTTCAAATATCTTCCTAAACCCTCGGCTTACACCTCCGTTCTGTGTTTTTCTGTACGCTGATTTGCGCGCCAACTTAGCTCTTTTAGAGAGTTCACGTAATTAATCAAACATTTTCCCAACGTGCGGCATCGGATACGGATATTCATCGCCCTTTTATGCGTAGAGAATGGAAACCACCGTTGTCATTACAATTAATTTTTGCCTTTATTGCACGACACCTCCATCAGTCTTCGTGGAGTGGGTTAATACGAAAGCATCGCCGAGTCGTACGGTTTAAAATAAATGAAGTCGTAAAGGAGCCCGTAAAAATACAAACACGTCTCGCTTTTGCGTTATTTTTTTTTAAACGTACATCATATAATCACAATGCATAAAATTCCGTCGAAAGCTCTCGGCGGAATACTTCGGATGGTTTTTAATATCGTCGACGAGCCGGAGGAGCATCATGGAGAACGACAATTTACCGTCGCTGAAAGAGCTTTCTCGTTCGCTGAAACAAACACTATCCCTGAGATGATACTTGATGTTTTATGTATACGGGGTCAACGTAAGTACGTACAAGTACTTTTCCATCCCTTTTCTCTTTCTTGCTGTTAACATCATTAATTCCTGCGAGGAACAATCGCGTAAAATCGCTCGTGGATATTTCAATTAAGTTTAAATGGGACTTCGTGCCTGGGTTTGAATAACAATAAGCGCGGAAGCAGTTTACGGGCTTCAGTTTTTATTAAGTTCGAAATTAAAAGAACGAGAACATTCAATTAAGACTTTCGCGAGTAATTTATGAACAGGCGCTTCTCGGGTTGATGGTAATGAATCGCATTTAAATTAACCCTCTCCACCTGATGTATGAGTATTCCGATACTCTACTCTACTCTACTTGCCTACAGTGCACAATGGGCTCCTTTTGGCACGCTCGCAACGACGTTCGTGCCGTACACCCATTACGTTTGACTAGTTACTTTGGGTAACCTAATATTGAGTTAAGACCGTCGTGTCCTTCCCACGCAAGTGGAACGAAAAATGATATTGCTCTACCACCAATATCCAATACGAGAAGCGCAAAATATTTCTTTGTGATCCTACGGAAATGCGAGAACTATTCGGGTAGTTCAAAAGTCACAAGGAAATTTTTATAAAACGGGGCGCGGTATGTTATGTTGAATCCCACCCGGAGTAGGATTACAGCTGAGTCACGATATCGCTGGTCTCGTACAGCTTATTCCTTCCAAATAGAATTCACGTAGTGTTGTTGAGATATAAGACTCTGAAGATACAGATAGTTCTTAAATTTGAGCACTTAAAACAAATCGCAATCAAAACAAAACCCTGCTTCTATGGGCAACCGTTGATAAATGGAATTTTCCAATGTATAGTGAAATTCAATTCTTATTTTTGGTGTATTAGTATAATTTATACAACTAGTCGAGATAAAATATCAAAATCAAATGTAGCACAATACACATTCGAAACAAGTCAACCTGCCACTTATTAATAATCATAATTACTCAGTTCAAATAAACAGCAGGAGCATAACGTTAAGTGTCACATTACAACATGTGCAAACATGTCGTGCCAAAATAGGAGAATAAAGTAATTAATTTCTTCTGGCGTAAAATCAGTGTCACCAATAATGGACCACTTGTCTACAGCGATACTGTAAACTCGAAAACCACATATTTACGTAGGGACCAACAGTGGAATCTTGCCGTATCCCTATGCATTTAATTAAGAGCCCGATCAACATATTATTTAAAAAAAAAACAATTTGTAATGCGCTATCAATGACATTGCCTATACCGTACTGGAATGTTGTTAATTTGGCAAATAATCTAACACGATCATATAATTACTAGATGGATGCAATAAACGTAAAGATAAAAGAAGAAAAATAAAGCTTCTAAATAATAGTTGAGACGCTCACAGAAACTAGGTATTCGAAACGTAAAACTTACCACTGACTTCGGCCAAAGCCCACATACGTTTCCCCTAAAATTCCCTTTTTCGGTCAAAACCACTCTCGACGAGACTCTCGTTTGGTCTCGGAAGTTTTTTTTGTATTTCTTTGTACTGTTTTTTTAAATTTTAATCAAGAAAATCCATTGAAGGACCATCCATTAGGACTTGATTACCATAAGTCTTATACGAATGTAATTTTTCTTAAATCCAGGAAGCCTTCTACAGCTTTATTTTATTGGCGAACAATTGATTTATTAAACCTGTACCATCATCAATGGCAGTATACCTGACTGGAATAATGGTAATTGTCTATGCGGGAAAAACAAGATTTGTTTATAACACTTAATAGGATCTCGCGGATTCCTTTATATTAAAAACCCTTAATGCTCTCATTGTATTTTCACAAGTTTATGGCATTGACAGTGACTCAATTTAGAACAGTGGATACAACCGGGTATCTCGTTCTTGATTGGTAGTTCGTTCTGGTCGCCATATTGGGGCTAAAATGCTATAGGTACTTTATTATGAGTTTACACTTTTCTTTGTGTTCTTGCGAAATTCTGTGAATAAAGGCGCTGCTTAAGGTAAAAATAAAATGTATATTGTGGACATATGACATATCCAAATACAGTTACTGTATGTAAGTATAGGTACTTACACATTTACCGCCCCAAGTTAAACGTTTGAAAATGGGGGGGGGGGGGGGGGTCATTGAAATAAATTGGTTTGTACAAACTATAACTTTCTTTTTCGAGATCAGGGGGGGGGGGTGTTATAAATTAATTTTTATCTTCCATGGTATTCTAATTAAAGGTCTCAACGAAGGAAACCTCAAAATACGGGGTTGGGGGGGGGGATTGGAACTGGTGTTATCCTTCATGGTACTCTATGAAAGGTCTGAAAGGAATTTCTTTTTACCACCCATAGTCCTCCTCCTCGACCCCTTATCGTGATTGGATATATTCCCTTATACGTCCAGAACGGATTGTCGGGTACTCACAAAGGGCGATTGGGATGTCTCCAAGAAATATATCCAGTTGTGCACAATTTGTACTTGTTTTTAATTCTTAAACAAAATGCGCTAAAATAATCTACGTGTAGAGCAACAAAATGTTGTTTTCAAGAGTGAAGATAAAATGATAAGCGAAATCGTACGTGTAGTTACATATAGAATACAATAACCAACGTGCAAAAACTCACAAATAAAACAATTGAGATAATGAATACAATTAAATTGCGAAAGAAACTAAATTATTATATTTTTAAATTTATCTACCTAATCTATTAAACCTCTTGACAAATGGGTATAAATGCACGTGCAGGCTGCGTCGTAGACGAGTACTACCAGCACTTTGAAGATATGTATTTGAAACTTGTATTGGTTTCTGCTGCTCTCATGTATGTAGGTGTTGCCTCAGGTATGTAACGATACGTTTATGATTTTATGTACAAACAGCCTCCAAACTGGAAGCTTTCATTTGCCTGTTTTCCGTATCAACTTCAAGCGTAGCATTGTCTGTATATTCGTGAAATTGAGGGTATTTCTGATAACGAAACCAAAAAGTTTGTAACACTCATTTGTTAGGTATGTTGGCCATTTCATTGTTGGGACTCGATGGTAGTAGATAAAAACAATAAGTCGTAAGTATGTTTTCTATTGGCAATCGATTTCGACGATTATTATTGTCATCTTCAGGCCATGCTACAAGTTATATAATGAGTTGTATTTAAATTAATTTTACAGTTAAATTACCGTCATGTGGTTATAATAGTATATTAAGATACAAGTGTATAATCAAGTCTTTAAAGCACGCGCAACGAGTTTAAGGGCACAACGCAAAGCGGAGTGCCTTTAACGTTGCAAGTGCTTTAAAGACCAATTATACACGTGTATCTTATAGTATTTTTTATTATACCTGCAGTATAATTTAAAAATAGGAAATACAATGAAGTCATATTGACGTTATACTCGAATACATGTCTAATTAAGTGGGCTGGGTGTTCGTAATTTCACGATTGCCATGGAAATGTCACTTGACGTTTGCTTATAAAAATCATCGTCTTTGTGAATTAAACGATTTCCGTTGAAAAAGATAATACACCGTCCATTAAATCGATTGTTGTAAAATCTAAACAAACGTTGGTAGGTGTAAAATCCAACTCCAGTAAAGCCTATTATAAAGAATATGAAAAGTTGTTTCCATGGATGAATAGGAAGTTACTTACGAATACAGTCTTAAATGCATCCATAATGCTGGCATATATGAAGGAAATGTCAAAGGTATTTAAATCTTCTATATTTTGGTGCATTCATTCAAAACTTTACAGCAATGCTTCGATTAAAAAGTGGAACAGATTTGGAAGCATACCCTAAATTACGCGCGTTTGTGAAAGCTTCAACCAAAGGATAGGTACAAAAGGCAAAGAAATGTTCTGCATTTACAGAAAGCGACCTAAGAGGATTTTTTATTTCATCCAGATGACAGTTTCAAAAGTCATACTTGAAGTATCGTTACTTAGCAACTTTAAAGCACGTGTGTTTTAAAGGCCCTTTTTCGCACGCATTTGAGTGTTTAAAACGGAGATTGTGATTCAGGTATAATAAAAAACAATTTTTTGCAATTAATGATCTTGAATGAAACAAGTGGTTTTACAGCAAAACGGGTGAATCTACGTAGATATAGTAAGATTATACATTTTTAATGAAAAATACAAAATTCAACCGCCATATCTTGGATTCTGATTGATTTCCTGGCCCGGAATGAATGGGGATTTTGAATATGATAAAATGGAAAATGCAAAAAGAATCGTTTGTGTGTGAAGTTGACACGGAAAACGGGTACCCTGGTACCTACCTCACGAAGGGGTGGACGTGCTGGGTTTCTTTTTCATGCACAATCAAGCACTAACGACTGGCACGTAATATTTCCTTAGTACTTCCATTATGCACCTAAAGAATAAACTTATATAACGTATACATATTATATTATTTTTAATTTGATTTTCTTAAACGTAACGAATCGTAGGTTATGAGGTAACCGGTTGCTATACTTGCTCAGCTAGCGAATCGGACCCTCAAGCATTTAACAACTGTCGTCACTTCATTAATATTACTGCAACTGAGGATTGTAAAAGAAATTACTATTCTTGCCTTTTTTATTATACAGGTAAGTAATATGCTATCTAATACACAAATTATCATCTACCTCTTATTTAGACGCACCAGCCGGCAAGGTTTATGTGAACAGAGGTTGTAGTGAAGATAGTTGTCGGAGCTTCGCCGACCAATACCCAGGATATATGAAACACTGTCAGGATTGCAATAGCAGACATTGCAATACTTTCACATAGATCAATAACACCAAGCGAACATTTTTCTGCATACTATACTATAACTAATTATTTTATTGTTCTTTAATATTTCTGTTCTTTTTTCTTTGTCATAATCGTCTAAACGACAAAATGCAATAATTATGTTGTAACAATATACGTATTTACAATTGGAAGCCATTTTTGACACACCTTATTCCTTCGTGATCCCCGACTCAACGCCACAAGTCCTGACTTGATCCCGTTCTGTGCAAATTTTCATATTCGGGACTGGTTGCAATTTATAAGGCTAACTGGATACTTGCCCAAATTAAATTAGATTAAGTGCCCGAAAAACAACGGCGTTCTCCGCGACAATCCCCGAACGAACTTTTTCGCGGTGTCCGGCGTGGTTACTCATCCCTAGTCGGAAACCGAACTTTTCGAAAAAGGTAGATTTTCAGCAGTGCGGTAAACGCTCCCGTGGTCCAAAAACGAATGCCTAATAAATAATTCGCTGTGTAATCCCTACCTTTTTTTAACGCCCTTTTCAAAATGTCGTTTAGTAATTAAACGAACCGTTTCTTTTCTAAGAGAAAATCGCATTTACTGTACCCCCGGAACTACTTACAACGTAGGCAATATTCTAATGTTAATGCCCACAGGCTGGAGCTCACGACTTCCCAAAGCCATACAACGGTCAACATTCTATAGAATTCAATTATGCAGAACAAAAATAATGCAAACTACGCACTTCCCCATAAATCAATTATCCACCTATACTTCGACCACCTTGTATGTTCTTTGTTATCAACTTTATAACAATGCGCACCCCTAACGACATTTAACTTTCAATTGTACCTGAAAAAATCAACCCCCATTAGAACGCTCCAGTTAAGTACGAGTATCTGCTGAAATTCCTTTTCCGCATCTGCCCCTTTCTCTATCTGTTTCGCCTGTTTAATTTGAGCCATGGCTGGCTGAAGAAATAGGATAGAAGGAAAACGCTTGTAGGGAAACGAGCAGTGTACATGTACTACCAGAGCCGTGTAATTAACAGCTTTAGGGACAGGGCCCCATGATATGGGGTTGGCAACATCTTGGCGCCATCCCAAAGCGTGTTATACTAACTTGGTGATTTTTTATTTTTTACCTATCTTCTACAGTGTTTGTCCCATTGTCAGCGTATTTTCCTCAAAGTGAAAAATCCCTATTGGCAGCACTTTGACGTCCTTCCGTCCGTCTGGCCGTCGCACGTACTCCTTCTAAACCACTGAACGGATCTTGGCGATATAGGACTCATTTGAAAGGGCTTGGTCCAAGGATTCCGTGCATACCCATATTTTTTGGGTTTGCGCATGCGCAATGCCAACTTTCTTATTTATGAAAGCATTTAAATGAAATGTTATACATGGGCATTTGGAATTTGGAAGACTAACACCAGTTGCAACATTTGGTTTTGCGCATGCGCAATGCCAACTTCCTTATTTACTGAAATTTAATACATAGGTACTTGGAATACAAGCAAATCTACCACCCGTTTTAAAATCTGGTTTTGCGCATGCGCAATGGCAACTTTCATATTTATGAAAGCAGTTAAACGAAATATCATATGTAGGCCTCTTGAATGAAACTAAAACTGATACCGGTTTCAAAATTACTGTTAACGCATGCTGTATGTTTTATTTATGAAGGTATTCAATGAAATTTCTAATGTAGACAATGCGCAATGCTATTTACGAAAGCATTTATAAAAAGTTCCATATGTAGACACTTCGAATAAAAGTATAACTAATGCCCATTTCAAAATTTGTATGTATTTGTATACGCTCCACTATTTTTCATTAAACTGTATAGACTTCGACGATAGGCGACTCATTTGAAAGAGAATGGGGTAAGGATCTTGTGCCTACCGTTATTTTTTCCTGGTCCTAGCATTAATATTATTAGGAGGAAAATACGTTCTCGTCATTTATGTTTGCATAATGACTTTTCAAACTCGTTTTCAAATTGGTGTCGTTGGGAAGATCTCTTGTAAACGCACAAGTCCGCAATTTTGTTTTTTCCTACGGGCGAAATTAACCCCCTTTTGTAAGGCGCAACGTGTTCGAGGGGTAGTCGACTTTGGGCGCCCAAAACTTTCGTAGAGTTCGAATTGTGGTCTCCCCTTTTCTTGTCTCCAATAGAAGCTCGAGCTTTATGGTTCAGTGGTAGAGTGTTGGGCTATAAATCCGGAGGTCGGGTGTTCGAACCTGGGTTGAGGTGAATTTTTTATTTGTGGCGGAGATGGAAATTACCTTAGACCAGTTCCGGCTACTCCGAATTAGGTTTTCCTGCAGTTTTCCTAATTCGTAAGGTAAATACCGGAGTAGTATGGACCAACTTAAGACCTTCTGCAAGGTTGCAAGTCTGTTGAGGGCCCAGAACAAGATAGGGATAATAAATAAATAAATAAATGAGAAGTGCCTAACAAATTGAGTATTATTTTCGGGAGAGTTTTTACCGAAATTCATTAATAACTTTCTTACAAACAGCGGCGTAGCATGGCTGTATCTCTGCTTTGTGTTTTCATTGTTGAGTAATTCTGCCAGCCGCAAAGCGTTCACAGACCCTACCGGCCGGCCCACCGGGACACTTCCCGTTATTCCGCCGGGCTCATCAACCCCTCCTCTGATCTCAACTTTTTCCGGAAATTACCTTCATATGATTTTCACCCATTTTCACCCTCCCCCAAAACTTAGTCCGACTCCCCTCTCCACGTACAATTTTAAGATATCCACTTGGCAAAGCTCGATTAACAATTTTCTTTTGCAAAAAGTGCAATTTGCCTGGACTTATAACAGTAATCACTAATCAGCGCATTTTTTTAAACAGAAATAGCTTTCTTGGTAGATGATTATTGTCGGAATATATCCGTTCACGATATGGGGTCGAGGAGCAGGACTATGGTTGGTATAAATTAATTTCTTTTGTTGAGACCTTTCAGTAGAGTACCATGAAGGATAAAACCAGCCCCCCCCCCGCTCTTTTGATAAGGGACCACAAGGAAGGGCGGTAGTTGGTAGAAAACGGTTCCTTTCGATGAGACCTTTCATACCATATAAAGGGCAGAAAGTGTGTTTAGCAACCCCACGTCAAGAGTTTAATTTTTATAATTTTTATAATTACATTATTACTCAAACAGAAGATAAATTGAGCACTCTTGTGCAGATAAAGCGCATTTTTTTAAAACAGAAATAGCTTTATTGGTAGATGATTAATGTCGGAATATAAACAATAAACAACGCCACTTAATTAAATTGCTAAGGGCTGTAACTTTTTATCTAGTAGTCCAATCTTGGAACTGTTTGAAATTATGGATTCTACGCGGCAAACTATAAGAAAATGTTTTTTCCCGGTCGATCTCAGACAATTTTTTTTACGGCCAAAAAAAAGCAAGTTTCGTTTTTTTACCAAAAATCGACTACTCCAAAATTTCTCGGGAAAACACTTTTTCTTATTAATTTTGGTGCGTAGAATCCAAAACGATTCGTACTTTTTCGATTGGACCCCTCAATCAAAAGTTATGGACTAAATACAAATTTCGACAATATATAAAAATATAATATATAAAACTGATGGAAAAGTAATCGAAGAAAGAGCGGAAAGTTGTTCGCGTTTTTCATGAACTTTTTCATGAAAGTATGGAAAATGATGGAAGATTGACAAGAAGTTAAACAGAAAGAAGGATATAATGAAACTGAGATATTGAGAGTAAGAATAAAAGGAATGGAGTATTTTGTGCATGTAAAGGACTAAGACAGGAATGCCCTCTTAACCCAGCCTGATTTAACCTCTACTTATGGAAAGGGGAGGAACTGGAAGAAGTACAAAGAAGATATGTAGTGTAGTGTAGTGTTAAACGGAAGCACATCAAATTGTATATTAGAGGAAGAAACTAAATTGAGGATTAAGGATAACGCAAAAGGAATGTGGGAGGAACAAAGAAGAAAATACTACGAAAGAAATGGATACGGACGAGCTGAGGTTGAAAGGGGGAGAGGAGTGGGAGGAAAGATGGAAAATGAGCTCGCAAAAAGGGAAATAAGGGAGTAGTTACCAAAGTATTTGTGCGAAGGGAGAAAAAGTATAAAAACAATAGTTGAAATGAAGAGAGAGGGAAAGAGAACTGGAGACAAGATGAGGAGAGGAAGAAGAGGACACGGAGCGCATGTTATGAAACTGTACGGAGGTAAAAATTACATGGAGCAGTAGGAGGAAGGTGCTGGATGGGGGAGGGGAGTGAGAAGTGAATGCCCTGGATTTTAAAGAAAATGAGAGAAATTTTAGTAAAAAGTTTTACCAAGTTGACGTCTAATAAATGAAAACATTAATTATTTTATTAATATAAATGCACTACCTCGCCATACAATTTTGGAAAGACCTTTTGTCATAATGGACCTCTATACAAGTTGCATTCTGATCACACTTGCGTAACATACGTAAATGAACAACAGGCAGAAAACTTCCGGAAGATTCTTCACAGCACCTGCAGCGATGGGACGGTTATCTTGGATGTTGATGCCTGATTTCTTAGCTTCGCCGCCCTCGACGTCGTGGAGCACGCCGATTAGAATAAATAGAAACGAGATTGCGACCTTCATCTTGCTAGTCACACGGTAGATGGTCGCAGTCAATTTACACTACTGGGAAAACCTTCATATTTTATATACCTAACGACCCTCATTTACCTCAATTGCTATTATCGTGACCACTTTATCTAATTTTGTACAATTTTATTCATTTTCCGTGTACCTATTGCAAAGGTAATTTCTATAGTATCCCAAACTACCATAAAAAGTCTCACAGTTACAGCCTCGTAAGCTGTACCTGTTGTCCGTAAATATCTGGAACAAAAGATGTTGGTCTACTATTCGTTTAAAGGAGAAGGAGAAATTTTGTTGGTTCCGGATTGGCTTAATATAAATAGCGACGCGCAAAGAAAAAAAGAAGATTGGTAACGAAAGTCAGGCGTTGAGTCGGGGATGACGAAGGAATAAGGTGTGTCAAAAATGGCTTCCAATTGTAAATACAACATAATTATTGCATTTTGTCGTTTAGAGGATAATGACAAAGAATAAAGAACAATAAATGCGAATGTGATAGTATAGTATGCTGAAAAATGTTCGCTTGGTGTTATTGATCTATGTTGAAGTATTGCAATTTCTGCCCCTGCAACCCGCACAGTGTTTCATATATCCTGGGTATTGCTCGGCAAGGCTCCGACAACTATCTTCATTACAACCTCTGCTCACATCAACCTTGCCGGCTGGTGCGTCTAAAAAAGAGGTAGATGATATTTGTGTATTAGATAGCATATTACTTACCTGTATAATAAAATAGGCAAAAATGGTTTTTTCTTATACAATCCTCAGTTGTAGTAATATTAACGAAGTTACGACAGTTGTTAAATGCTTGAGGGTCCGAGTCGCTAGCTGAGCAAGTATAGCAACCGGTTACCGCATAACCTACGATTCGTTACGTTTAAGGAAATCAAATTAAAAATAATATATTACGTATACGTTATATAAGTTTATTATTTAGGTGCATAATGGAAGCACTAACGAAATATTACGTGCCAGTCGTTAGTGCTTGATTGTGCATGAAAAAGAAACCCAGCACGTCCACCCCTTATTGAGGTACAGGGTTTTCCGTGTCAACTTCACACACAAACGATTCTTTTTGCGTTTTATTGTGAAAAGTGTCCATTTTAACATATTCAAAATCCCCATTCATTGCGAGCCAGGAATCAAGATATGGCGGTTGAATTTTGTACTTTTCATTACACAATGTATAACTTTGTTGTTTCAGCGAAATTTGGCAAAGGTGTATAAAATAGTATATTAAAATACAAGTGTATAATCAAGTCTTTAAAGCACGCGCAACGAGTTTAATGACACGACGCGAAGCAAGTGCTTTAAAGACCAATTATACACGTGTATCTTATAGTATTTTTTATTATACCTGCAGTATAATTTAAAAGTAGGAAATACAATGAAGTCATATTGACGTTATCCTCGAATACATGTCTAATTGAGTGGGCTGGATGTTCGTAATTTCACGATTGCCATGGAAATGGCACTTGACGTTTGCTTATATAAATCATCGTTTTTGTGAATAAAACGATTTCAGTTGAAAAAGATAATACACCGACCATTAAATCGCTTGTTGTAAAATCTAAACAAACGTTGGTATAGGTGTAAATAAACTGATGATAAGTATTGAATCACTCAAATTGCCTATTATATCACAGATATACGTGTGCTATTATACATTAGGAAGACGTTATTACATATTTAGTCCAGGCTAAATAGCTCTAAAATGATTTATTTTAAAAAAAAATTAGTTACCGGGCGAGACCGGGTTTTTCAGGCAGGTGAAATGAATAAAAATTGGGAAAAAATAATTAAAACAGCTGAATTTTTCCGCGGGTGAAATTACGGGGGTTGAAATGGGTGGAAAGTGGTATTTTGCAAATTGTGGCAAAACTATTGATTTTAGACGAAAATGTTAAATGTAAAAGTTATAGAGATTAAAAAAATGAGCAACTTTTGTATCTACACTATTTTCACATAACCTCAAATTTTCCTAGAAAAACCGGAAAAACTGTTTTTTTTCGTTTTTTATTCTTATTTTTGCGAAAAAATGTCGTAGGGGTTTGAAATTTGGAGGTAACATAACCTGTTTTATGATAAAACAGAAGATAATTGTTTGGGCCTATAAAGTTGAACCGTTTCCAAGATCTCACGATTTCTGTAAAAAATCACCTCTTTTTCAAGGGGATGAAAAATCTATTTTTTTTCATCGTACAGAGGTGCGCGGGGTAGCAAAATTTTCGTAACGACTTACATTTTTCCATATAGCACACTTTGTCCATCGGACGTACATTTTAAGTACATTATACGTACATACATCCATGGACGAATGATGTACATCCTATGTTCGTACAAAAATGGACGTACTTTTTGTAATGTACATTGTACGTACATTGTAGGATGGGATCAGTACGTATCGATAATTATTTTATAATTAATGTATTTTATGCATCTGATGATTGTCTGCAGTTTGCGCCGCTAACTGTTTATCTTTTTTATTATCATATTTTTTTCCGCCAAATATTTGTAACGTTTTTCCCGGTCAACGAAGAAATACGACAAAACGCGATTACTGATTCATGCGGTCGCCGCTCGCGGCTCGCCGGTCATTCTTTATGGCGTTGTGTTGTTGTATTTATTTAATCTAAATCACGTTATTTTGTTAGAAAAACTTTGTGTACTAACTTTTGTGATTCTTCGCGCAAACTACTATAGTGTTCTGTGACTAAATGACCTTCTAATAAGTAAGTTAATTTAATTACATTGGAACACACCGTAGCATTTTTGTTTTGCAGAAGCCTGTATGACTATTTTCAAGGATACCACATTAAATGAAATAGAGCAAAATATATCTAAATGGATAAGGCGTTGTGCGGAAAGGGGAAAGGATAAAAACGTGTGAATTGCATAAACATATATATGTCGTAGTCTTTTAGTGAAATCCGTCACGAAACGCCTAGTCATTTATATGAAACTGTGGCACAGTGTACTTTCCAGGGCCAAGCGATTGGATTCCGTTCCCATTGGAAATCGATAAATGGTATCCTTATCGATCTAGAAGGGGAAGGGAAATTACCCCACACGTATAAATTTTCAGCATTTCACTAAATGACTAGGCCTCGGACTAGGCGTTTCGTGAAATGACGGATTTCACTAAAAGACTACGACATATATATTTATGTATCATATATTTACTTCAATTAAATCATTTTGAATTTCGTTTTTTTCTTCTTTCATTTGCACCTCAATTTACACCCATGACAATAACAGAATTTGTACATTTTAAGTACTTCTATGTATGTCCCATGGACGTACTGTAATGGACATACATTAAAGGTACAGGGCTATGTCAAATGGACTAAAAATGGACGTACATATTTTGTACAATGTACAAAAATGGACGTACAATGTACAATGCCAAATTCAATTGACTACGTACGTTGTACATCCATAGTACGTTCATGTGCTATATGGGTTAATAATCAAAAATAAAAAATATTATTCCAATAGAAAAATTTCAAGAAAAGCGGCAAAAACGGGGGGAACAGTTTTAAGATACACCGTTTTTGACAGTAGGTAAATAGGCTTTGCAAATAAATTAACGTGTTCGATCCGCGCTAATAAAAAGTTTTGGAAATCTGTCTTCTCTCCTCTCTTGAATTGTTGCTAAAATATTTTCTTTTGTTTCCCAGTGCCCAACTGCCTTAATTAAAACATCTTTATTGTTTCTTTTTTCTGCATTTTTACCGCAATAAAAGTAATTTGAAGTAAAATCGAATTCTTTTGCTTCCTGTACAATATGTTTTTGTTCACTAATTCTTCTTCCTGCCTGTTTTACAGCTGATGGTATTAAGCTGGGCCTGTTGATCGTTAATTTACAGGAATTATGAATAAAATCCCCATAAAGTTTATTCCTGCAGGTTTGACATCTCAAATCATTTGCTTTTGACCGGTAAAACCAACGTTCTTATTGCAGATTTTGCAAGTTTATCAACAGGCCCAACGCAATTGCATCAGCTATAAAACAAGCAGGAAGAAGAGTCGGTGAACAAAAATAAATTCTTCAAGAATCAGGAAGCAAGATACATAATTCGATTTTATTTCGAATTGCTTTTATTGCGGTAAAAATGCAGAAAAAAGAAATAATAAAGATGTTTTAACTAAAACAGTTGACCATAAGCTAACAAAAGAGAATATTAGGCAAACATTAGAGAAGGAAGAAGACAGATTTCGAAAAAATCTTTATCCAACATGTTGATTTATCATGTCAAAAACCGTGTATATCTTAAAACTGTTTTTCCGGTTTTTGGGGATTTTCTCGAATTTTTGCTATAGGAATAGTATTTTTTTAATTTTTGTTTATTAAAATATAAGTCTTCCCGAAAATTTTGCTACCTCGCGCACCTCTGTACGATGAAAAAAAAATAGATTTTTCATCCCCTTGAAAAAGAGGTGATTTTTTTCAGAAATCGTGAGATCTTGGAAACGGTTCAATTTTATAGGCCCAAACAATTATCTTCTGTTTTATCATAAAGCAGGCTATGTTACCTCCAAATTTCATTCCCTCCCTTCATTTCCTACGACATTTTTTCGCAAAAATAAGAATAAAAAACGAAAAAAAACAGTTTTTCCGGTTTTTCTAGGAAAATTGGAGATTATGTGAAAATAGTGCAGATACAAAAGTTGCTCATTTTTTTAATCTCTATAACTTTTACATTTAACATTTTCGTCTAAAATCAATAGTTTCACCACAATTTGCAAAATACCACTTTCCACCCCCGAGATTTCACCCGCGGAAAAATTCAGCTGTTTTAATTATTTTTTCCCAAATTCTATTCATTCCACCTGCCTGAAAAACCCCGTTTCGCCCGGTAACTAATTTTTTTCATACAAAAATATTATATAGCCTGGACTAATTAGACTTAAGAACAAAAAAACCATTATTTCAAAGTATACATATATATTGACTATTTTTCCATAATTCAATCTTTACTTGAACATGTCTATAAGGTATCTTGAAAGAAAATGATGATGTTATTGTCCTAAGTGAAAAGGTTCTAATATTGACCTGGACCGAGCATACTTCATTATACACTGACCAATTCGGGCTACTTTCATCTTCATATCCTTGCCAACAAAGGTCGTTGAGAATAGAAATCTGAGTGAGTTAGGCAAGTAATTTAGACCTTCAGTGGTGTTAAGGTTTTTACTACACATGTACACATGGTCCGTGCACCATGCAGGTAGTTATTGCTTCCAAAAGTCGCGTGAAATTGACACGGAAAACGGGCAAATGAAAGCTTCCAGTTTGGAGACCGTTTGTACATAAAATCATAAACGTATCGTTACATACCTGAGGCAACACCTACACACATGAGAGCAGCAGAAGCCAATACAAGTTTCAAATACATCTCTTCAAAGTGCTGGTAGTACTCGTCTATGAGGCAGCCTGCACACGCATTTATACCTATTTGTCAAAATGTTTAATAGATTAGATAGGTACCTACATCTAAAAATATAATAATTTAGTTTTTTGCGCAATTTAATTGTATTAATTATCTGAATTTTTTTTATTTGTGTGTTTTTGCACGTGGTTCTCTGTATAGGTACTACTCTTATGTATGATTTCGCTTATCATTTTATTTTCATCTTGCAATCAACATTTTGTTGTTCTACACGCGTAGATTATTTTTAACGCATTTTTTTAAGAATTGTTCGTGAATTGATATTTTTATATAACAAAATTGTGCTTCCATAACACCTTATTTTGTTTACGTATTTACGCACTTTCGTACTTAAGTATTAAATTTAGGGCTAACTGTAGTTTTTTTTATAATCACCACGTTAGTAAGAGATATAGGGAGGTAGGTATTGCATTGAGGTAAAAAATGACCCCGAACTTTTTTTTTCGCAAATACCTACACGTTTTGGAGCATCAGAAATCCGAATCCGAAAAATTCTTAGACATAAAAGGAAGAGCTTTTACTCCCCCCCTCCCCTCTTCCCACCCCCGTCTGCCCAAATCTAATAATAATAATTTAATCACATTTCCTTTTCCGTTTTATCTCTTTTCCATCATTTCTTCGATCGATCGACATCGAGACGTCATTACTCATCGGCGAGAAAGCGAATGTGATGCAATCTTTCTGGAAAATATGATGTGCGTATTCGAGAACATTCTAGAGTATTCCGGAGCATTCGGAAGCGTTTTGGTTTGCTATATCAGCAAGCGAATTCTAACATCGTATCGATGCGAACTGAAGCAATAAAGTATAGGGTCTTACACTCATGCACTTCCGAGCACCTTCTGCTTTGAAGACTTTTAAAAACTGCTAATGACGAATAAAGCTCTAGAGCTCTTCAAGTCTGTTACTGGCTCGGATTTTTACATAATTTCTTAATTGGTGGAATTATCCCTAAACTAGCAGAAAACTGCTATCTCGTCCAAAAGTTTCCAGTAGTTTTTCTTAATTCTTCCTAGATAACATTCATGCCCACTTCGTTTCCGCGCACGCTGGTCGCCTGGACGAGTTAAAGCGAAAAGTAGGCGCCCGCCACTGTCATGCTTGTCACGCTAATCAGTTTGGCTCTCGTTCTGGAGACGCGCGGTCGCGAATTAACAGAGGACGACTACGAACGTGGGGGCGTTAATTTCGCCCACCTCGGCAAACGGATATTCGGGAATCCGAACGAGGAATCGGGCCGAAACGTTGACGCATGGAAGCCGGGCTATCGGGAGAATCCGGAATTCCTCGGCACCTACGCCGAGGGCGATATACTTTTCCCGCCGCTGCTTTTGCGTATGGCCGTAAAGTCGGAATCGAGGCGATGGGTCCATGGCGTCATACCGTACGTGTTCGGCCCGGAGTTTTGGTTCTTTCAAAGATTCGTGGTGTGGAGAGCGATGGCGGCTTTCCATCGGGAGACTTGCATCAGGTCAGGCAAGCTTTCTCTTAACCTAAGTTCAGCTTCAGTTCAGATTTGTGGAGCGTTCGGATCGGGATAAAGATTACGTGCTGTTCATCTCGAGGCACGCGGGTTGCTACTCCAGCATCGGTCGCACGGGAGGTAAACAGGTGGTCAATTTGCAGATGCCAGCTTGCCTGAGAAGTGGGACGATCATTCACGAGCTGATGCATGTAATCGGCTTTGCCCACGAGCAGTCACGTTTCGATCGGGCCAGATATATCACTATTGCCTTTGATAACGTGCATCCCAGTAAGATTCAGGTTTTCTTTGTCAATAATCCAGGTCGAACCTTGCAGATATGACCAGCCAATTCGATATGTCATCTAAAGAGGACTTTACCGATTTGGACGAACCGTACGACATTCGTTCCATCATGCACTACTCCTCGTATGCGTTTACGTGGAACGGTCTTATGACGATGGTTCCCATCGTAAGTGAGCCAATCAAACGTAAACCCAATGCAACCGACCATTTCAGGATGGAGTTTCGAAATTGGGCCGCGGCGACTATTTTACCCGTACAGACGTCAGGAAGGTGAACAAGTTGTACCAGTGTGCACGATCAAGCATTTAGCTTTGGCTAATTGTTGCCATTGAAATCTACATACTTTATTAAAGCACTATTCTATTGAAGATAAAATAAAAAATTTGCTGTGGCCAGCACACATACCATTCTGCACAAAAGCTTTTCCAAGTTTCGAACAGTTTCTTACAGGTGCCACATTAAAGAGGTACTTAAAAAGCACCCTCTATTGAGCAGCAGTATAAACATGTACCGTTTAAAACTGTAAAATGACGCTTATGGATTTAGAGTAGAGTAGAGTATATTTTTATTTTCACTATATATACAGTACATGCAGTGAGTCCGCATATATAAATGGAAAATATGTCAACAGTTACAATATAATGTAAAATAATAAAACGGTACCAACAAATACGATACAATTATAAAATTTATAGAAGATTACAGTATGCAGTTATAATGTAAGGTCCGCGACAACGCCATATTATGTAAAGAATTCATTAATGGAATAATATTCAGCATTAACTAAGAAGGACTTTAAGGTGTTTTTGAACTTATTGATATTATTTATGTTTTTTAGATCGGTTGGCAAGCAACTGAAAAATTTACAGGCGTTATTATGACTACTTTTTTGGTAATATGTCGTTTTATGCTTATGAGGTAGCAAGTTATTTTTAAATCGAGTGTTGTGGTTGTGAGAAAGGGAATTAAAGTGTTTTTTATTCTGATAAGCATATTTTATGATTTCATAGATGTACAGACATGGTACCGTTAGAATGCTTAATTCTTTGAACCTGGATCGGCATGTGGCACGGTAGCCTATAGAGCAAATTATTCTTACTACATATTTTTGCAGCTTAAATATTCTTAATAGGTTAGGAGATTGCCCCCAGTGAATTATTGCAAATCTTATATGGCTTTCAAAACAAGCAAAATATAATGTTCTGAGGGTTGTACTAGAGCATTTGTGTGCTAGGGATTTTATTGCAAAAATGGACGACGATAGTTTTTTACATAAGTTATCTATATAATGGTCCCATTTAAGGTTTTCATTTAAATTTATGCCTAATGTTTTTGTATTTTGCTCTAGTTCAATCTTCGAGTCCTTATAGATAATGTATTGGGGAAAGTCATGTTTAGATCTAGCTGTAACAAAAGGAACGCATTTTGTCTTGTTTATATTTAGACACAATTTATTAGTTTCCATCCATTCTAAAATAGTATCCATAGTTGTACTAAGAATTGGTTGGATATCGCTACTTTTTGGACAGGTAATTAATATATTATTGTCGTCCGCATATGTAGTGATGTGAATGTTAGAGTTGTAAGTAAAAAGATTTAGCAGATCGTTTACGTATATAATGAACAGTGTTGGTCCCAATACACTCCCTTGAGGCACGCCAATTTTAACTTTCAATCTATTTGATAGGACAATTTCGTTGTTTTCAGTTAATCGTACTGTTTGGTATCTATTCTCTAAATATGATTGAAACCACTCCAAACACGCACCCCGTATACCGTATCTTTCCAGTTTTTCCAACAGATTTGTATGGTCTACGCAATCGAAAGCCTTGCTCAATGCTCATATCTATGAAAACTCCTAACGCAATACATTTATTATCAATGGTTTCGACTATTTTGTTGATAAATGCGAAGAGTGGATGTTTCTACGCTTTAGTTTCGCATAAAGCCGTGCTGATTTATCATTAAGAAGGTTATTTGTTACGAAAAACACCATTAATTTATCATTAACAATGATTTCAATAATTTTTGAGAAAGAAGAAACTAAGCAGATGGGTCTGTAATTTTGAAATTCACTTTTATCGCCTTTCTTAAAGAAGGGAAGTACTACTGCGTGTTTTAATTTGGTTGGAAATTTAGAGAATTTAAAAGTTAAATTTATTATATGAGTAAGAGAACTTAAAAGACTATCTTCACAATTTTTTATTAGTCTGTTTGAATAGAGATCGTCACCAGAAGCGTTAGAGTTTGAAAGTTTTTTTATAGCATCTTTTACGTCGTCTTTGCAAACTGGGCTTAAAAAGAATGTTTTACTATTTATGGGAATAAGTTTTTTGATATATTCTCTATCAACTTTATGACTAAATTTATTTTTTAACTTGTTTGTACTTGAAATAAAGTAGTTATTGAAACTGTTTGCAAGTAATTCTCCAGTTATTTGCTGATGATTTTGTGTTATGCATATTTTTGTACTTACGGGCAGAGTTGGACTGGGTCAAGCATAGAGTGACCCAGTGACCCGGTGATCCAGTTAGTTTACTGACCCAGTGACCCGGTGACCCAGTGACCCAGTTTGACCCGGTGACCCAGCTTGACCCGGTGACCCAGCTTGACCCAGTTTGGCCCAGTGACCCAGCTTGACCCGGTGACCCAGTTTGACCCAGTTTGACCCGGTGACCCAGCTTGACCCAGTTTGACCCAGTGGCCCAGCTTGACCCAGTTTGACCCGGTGACCCAGCTTGACCCGGTGACCCAGCTTGACCCAGTGACCCATCTTGACCCAGCTTTACTCAGTGACCCGTCCTGACCCGGTAGCCCAGTAATTAAATTATTGTTAGGTATCATCCAAAGCAATTTCAAGTAACTTTTAATTTAAAAAAAAACTTCCTCAATAATATTCGGCAACAAGCACGTAGCCCAATTTCATTCAAGAGCACTAATAATACCTAAAAAAATCAAATGCATTTGTTTATAGTTTGTAGTCAAGTAGTCAATGAAAGTATTTAGAGAAAAGATTTATTTGGATTCACCTGTAACACCTGTAAGCAAACTGGTAAGCCCTGAAGCAAAGAAATAACATTATTCTAATACAATTCGGGACATGGAAAGTTTTTTACGGCAGTATTAAAGCAAACATCACAGAAATGGCAGTTGTCAAGCAATCGAGTATTATTTTCAACAAACCAGCATTTCATTTATTGCATAATCTGTACACTTGAACCGAGGGCACTGACTTAACTGCGATATTCAATCAAACTAGGTGACTGGGTCGAATTGGGTCCCCGGGTGAAATTGCGTCGCTGGGTCAAACTGGGTCACTGGGTCAAACTGGCTCACTGGGTCAAACTGGGTCAAACTGGGTCACTGGGTCAAACTGGGTCAAGTTGGGTCACTGGGTCAAACTGGGTCAACTGGGTCACTGGGTCTAACTGAAAAGAGTATGACGTGACCCAGCGACCCAGTGACCCAGTTTAATTTAGTGACCCAGGTGACCCAGTTGACCCAGTGACCCAGTGACCCAGTCCAACTCTGCTTACGGGTTCGTTACCTTTACGAGTGGAATTAATAATATTCCACATGGCTTTTTGTGGGTTTTTAGACATTCGGATAAGTGCGTTAGATGTCGCTCGGGACCGGGCATTAGGCCGCCAGACATTAGGACGCAGACATTAGGACGCGGACATTGGACCGCAAGACAGTAGACCACAAAGGGAATAGACCGCAGACATTAGGCCGCGGACATTAGGACGCAGACATTGGGACGCGGACATTAAGACGCAGACATTGGGACGCGGACACTGGGACGCAGAAATTGGGATGCGGGCATTAGGAACGCAGGTACGTAGTTCTATCCCTTGTTGCACTTAAAATAAAGCAAGGAGCCATCAAATTCGCGTTTTTCTGGAAAATCTCGAAAACTCCACGATGAAAGCGCGCCAAATTTCGTCCACGTTCTCCCCCTCCCCTCAACCTTCTTTGTTTTCGCGTTTCAGGAGGGGCCCACGTCCTAATGTCTGCGTCCTAGTCTTGCGGTCCATTGCCAGAGCGCTGCTGCATTACTGCGCTGACCAATTCGGTTCCATTACCACAAATTAACCTTCTAGGTGTCCCATATCGTAAGAAGATTTCATTTATGCATATGTTGATAGGGCGACCCGTCGTTGAGATCAACAAAAATGCGAAAAACGTTTCCTTCGCGACCGGCGCTCCGGGTCGCGCCGTTTCCACACCGGGGTGTCACTTTTAATCGCACCCCGACAAAAAGACGCTCCTCCGCGTCGCCCAACGCCTCAGAAAGGGGGAACAGAAGTTCCGGTGCCGTTTTCGAGTCACGAATTTTTTCCAAAAATTTATATTTTTTTACTGCTTATGGCAGCTACCCCGTAAGTCGCAGGAGGAATTTTTTAATCTCGCCGAAAGTTGCGCCAACTATCCTTATCCCCCCCCCCCCCCCCCCCCCCCCGCGGCGGCGCCCGTACGTCCTAACCCTAACCGTATAGAATTTCCCGTGCACCAAATTCTCAGAATCGACGCAAAATCGCCTCAAAAAGGTCCGATCGAAATTTCATCAAAATCGGTGCGTTTTTAACGAAATTAAAAATGAATTTCGAGTACTTGCCTGAGTTTCTGATTTAAGCGAAGCTTCGGCTTTCCGCTCCAATAAACTAGAGATAGGTCCCTACGGACCTTAGCGTCAGCAAACTCCGTTTTTTTTATTGTTTTCCGTTTGTAAATTTTTTAAAATTTTTTTAACTTATTTTATTTTATTTTTACCTTTTTTTTATTTTTTTTTGTTTGATTTATGGTTGTGAGAATATAAGTAATGTTGATTGTCGTGGGAATTTTCTAAAAAGCGAAAAGAAATTCGATTCGGCTCAAAAAAGCATCCATATGTCCATAGTCAATTAATTCTAAGTATCATTTCTTGCACTTATTTTTACGCTCTTGTTGTCCTGTTGGATGGAGATTCCTACCCTGTCTTGACCTCCTCTCAATTTAATTGGATCTCCGCGCTTTATTTGTGTCTAGATAAAGACAACTTTCGCTTGAGCTTTGAATTAGGCCTGGACCTGGCTCGCGTTTTAAAGTTACGAGTACTTTACTTAAACAGCGCTCACTAAAAAGCACGTCTGCACTCGTTACCGACCCGAAGTCGAATCACTATACTGATACAGGGAATTGGGGTAAAAATGCCCCCCCCCCCACTTTTTTTTTATGGAAATACACGTTTTGAAGAACCAGGAATCCGAATAATGTCGGTCTGTGTGTGTATGTGGTTCGTTTTTTGTGACCACGGTAACTAAAAAACCCCTGAACCGATTTGAACGAAATTTGGGGTG